TGCTCAGCAGCTGAGTGTGCAGATCCGCGTGCTGACATCACGGCAGGAAAAACCTGTCGCTGTGCTGCTTGCTTTCGGTGGCCTCAAATCTCCCGGCCTGTTCTACTTTCCTGGCGGGTGCAGGACTTTCCAGGTGACCTGTCATATGGAAAGATGCAGAGCCTTGCTGTGGTGGGAGGAAAAACGCCCTGGAGGCTTTACAGGAACTGAATAAAGAAAATCCCTAGTCAAAAGCACTGTAGTTCAGATCTTAGTGGGCAATGTAGCAGGAGGGAGAGGTTCATGATGTTCTCCAGGCTGTGTTGCAAGGGAACAATTGGCAGGACTTTCCAGGTGACCTGTCATATGGAAAGATGCAGAGCCTTGCTGTGGTGGGAGGAAAAACGCCCTGGAGGCTTTACAGGAACTGAATAAAGAAAATCCCTAGTCAAAAGCACTGTAGTTCAGATCTTAGTGGGCAATGTAGCAGGAGGGAGAGGTTCATGATGTTCTCCAGGCTGTGTTGCAAGGGAACAATTGAGAAGGCTTATAAGCACCTGTGGTGGCTGAGGCTAGAGCAATTCCTAACCACATCTTCCTTTGCAGGGGGGGTTCGCACGATGCTATGAAATGACAGACCTCTTGAGCAACAAAACCTATGCTGTGAAGGTTATTCCTCACAGCCGGGTGGCTAAACCCCACCAGCGGGAGAAGGTAAGTGGTGTGGGGTTGGCAGGGAGTGTCTGGCTGGTAGGGGTGCAGCAAGAGCCCTGCGCTCACCTGTGGCCCCTGCTTCCTTTCAGATCACCAATGAGATTGAGCTGCACAGGGACTTGCACCACAAGCACATTGTCAAGTTCTCTCATTACTTTGAGGACTCAGAAAACATCTATATCTTCCTGGAGCACTGCAGTAGGAAGGTGAGTGCTGGCTGCCAAAGGTTGCCCTAAAATAAGCCGCAGGTGGCTGGTGCTGGGCTGTATCTGAGGAGCTGCATTAGCACTCTGTTTTTCCTGGTTTCCACTGCTGCCCATTCTGTTCTATCCTCTGAGCTAACTCTGCTCAGCCACAAGCTGTTTGCTTGCATTGGAGACACCCTAGATTGCCTCTCCTATTCAGGGTATCTGCTTGTGTTGGTAACTTGTAGCACCTAGTGGTGCCACCCATAAATCCACTGGTTGTGCTGAGCATCCTGTGGTGACCTCAACCCTTTGTGTTCATGGCCATGGCAGAAGGATTATCTGTGGATGTGTGACTTTTGGAAGAACTAGCTTTTGCCTGTCCCTTGCCTAGTGGGTGCAGCTGCTTGTTCTCCCTGGCTGCAGTCACTGAACTGTCTTCTCTCCTTCTGCAGTCCCTGGCTCACATCTGGAAGGCCCGCCATACTCTGCTGGAGCCAGAAGTGCGCTATTACCTCAAACAGATCATCTCAGGCTTGAAATACCTCCACCTCAAGGGCATCCTACACAGGGACCTCAAGCTTGGTGAGTGTCCCTGTCAGGGTGAAGAGCAGTATGAGCACTGGACTGCTCTACAGTGATTGGTGATGCGTCACTCTTGTCTTGTAGGCAACTTCTTCATCAATGAAAACATGGAGCTGAAAGTGGGGGACTTTGGTCTAGCTGCTTGTCGTGATATCTCTGACCAGAAGAAAAAGTAAGTTTGAGTTTCCTCTTCCAGAGCTGTCCTCCAAGGGCTCATCTTTCTCTTCCTCCTGGCCAGCCTCCCAAGCAGAGGGGCGAGCCACCCTCCTGGCTGTGATGGTGGTTGGGGCCATTCCTGCCCCAGCTGCCTGGGGCCCATGGCTGCAGCCAGGGAGAGGGGCCTGGAGGGGCTTACAGAGCTCACAGCCGTTGGAGAGAACAATGCGCTTGCTATAGCTATTGTGCCTGCCAGGCTGCCCTGCCGGGTGCGCGGGGCTGGGACACAAAGGCTCTGTTCCTTGCTGTATTGAGGACAAGCTCTTCCCAACAGCTCTCCAGGAACAACTGTTCCTGACCCCTGGGGGCTGGGGGGAGGGAGTGTATGTGTGGGGGGCTCTTGTGGATGGATGGAGCCTTTCTACCCCAAAGAGCAAAATGGGACAGGGGAGAACAGGCTGTGAGCTAAAACCGAGGGCTTGGACAGGGAGAGGTTGGTTGCAAAGTACACACTGACCTGGCTGTTTGCCCTGCAGGACAATATGTGGGACCCCCAACTACCTGGCCCCCGAAGTGCTGCTGCGACAGGGCCATGGGCCTGAGTCAGATGTGTGGTCTCTGGGCTGTGTCATGTAAGTTGGTGCTGCTGTGCCCAAAGTGGCATGGCCGGGTGGGGTCTGCATAGTCCTGCCTGCTCTGTGCGTGTCCCTGGGGCTGAGTGGTGCTCTGGAGCAGCTCTGAGGAAGTTGTGCTGTGCTTCATCTTGCAGGTTTGCAGTGACTGCTGAAAGGCAGGGGGAGGGCAGCAAGTGGCTGGGTCTAGCTGAGTGCTTTTTTTTTTTGGAGTAGGGTTCCAGCTCAGGGGCTGGGAAGCTGCTTGAGAGCTGTGTGAGTGGGAGCTATATACTTGCAAACTCTCTCATGCTGTTCTCTGCTCTGGTTCAAAGTGGGCTTGACTGATCTGAGAACATGATAAACAATGGAAAATCTCTGTGGCTGGTGACAGCTGCTGTGCCTGTTTGTATGGAGAGCAATCACTGAGACGCTGTGCTGCTTCGAAAAAAACCTGGCTGTTACCCACAAGCTTCCTTCTGAACTTTCCACTCTGGTGCCTGCAAAAGTGGTCTCGGCAGCACGGGGGGGTGTGCTGGAGCAGCAGCATGGCAGCTGGGGGGATGGCCTTCATCTCCCCAGCCCTCTCCCAGTTCCTAAGGGCTCCTTGCCTGTTGCTCTAAACAGTTGCTAGGAGGAAGCATGGCCGGATGCGAGTGCAGCTGCCCTGTTTGCTCATTCCCTGGGCTGGGAAGTGGTGCTCCCAGCCAGGTGTGGCTGGCTGCATGAGAATAACTTCCTTGCTCTAAGTGCTGCTGAGTCATGAGCCTGGCAGGGACATAACTGTGGCATGTGTGTCCCTTCCCAGGTATACTCTGTTGTGTGGGAACCCTCCTTTTGAGACCTCTGACCTCAAAGAGACCTATAGGTGCATCAAGCAGGTAGATTACACCCTGCCTGCCTTCCTCTCAGTGCCTGCCAAGCACCTCATCGCTGGCATCCTGAAACGCAACCCCCAGGACCGCCTCACGCTTGAGGAGATCTTGGACCATGAGTTCTTCAAGGTGAGTGGGTGAGAGCCTGCAGTCAGATCTCTGGGCTGATGTGACCCTTCTCCAGGTGGGATGAGGCTTTTCTGACTGTGTGACCCCTAGCACAAAGCACAGGGCACTGCCCTTGGTGTGCTGTCCTTGTCACCCTGGCCTCAGTCCCTTGAGGGAAGTGGCTGGTGTCCGGTGGAAATGCCAGCTGAGGGAATTGCTCTGGCTGCCAAGGGATCTAGTGACTGCTTGCTGCTCTGTCCCTATAGCACAGACTGTTTCTCATACTGATGATACCTGAATGCCAATAGTGGATCTGTGGCTTGACAAGAAATGCAAGCTGGCTGTCAGGAGGGTTGAGTGACTGGTTAGCTCAGGCCAGCTGCTCTGCTGAGCAACACGTAGGCTACAGAAACTGTAGCTCTGCTTTGACCTCTCTGCAGGGGTACACACCTGAGAAGCTGCCTCCCAGCAGTTGTGTGATGGCTCCGGAGCTGTGTCCCCCCAACCCAGCCAAGACTCTGTTTGCTAAAGTCACCAAGACGCTCTTTGGAAAGAAGAAACCCAAGGGTAAGGCTCTACTCTCACCCAGGCAGACAGGAGCCTCTGGCTGACTCTTCCTTCAGGGAAAAGTGGGCTATGGCTCCTGACAAGACCTCCTGATGGTGCCCTACAGCCCCCTGCCTGGGACCAGCACCAGTTGGGTTTGCCCCTGCCCTTCCGGTGTTGCGTTGCTGGTGGCCTGGCGTTGGGTGTGCTCGCCTGGTGAGCGGATGCTGGGCTGCAACCCGCAGCGGGTAGTTCCTCCTGGAAACCTTCAGTTGCATGAGAACTGGGAAGTGAAAGCAGGAGGCATCTGCCTGACACCATCCTTCCCATGACAGGCATGGAGAGGCAAAGGGAAAGCCAAGCTACTGGGTGGGGGTGGCCCAAATACCTCAATCTTTCGCATACCGAGTGGTGGGCTCATTGCATGCTCTCCCGTTAGCCAAGAAGGGCTCTTCAGAGGACAAAGATGACATCTCCAAGCTGGTCACTGGGTTGATGAAGACCTCGATCTGCAGACAGATGAGCTACAAAGCTCTAGAAGGGAATGAGGTGAGAAGACCTGGGCTTGTTCCCAAGCCTGGGTCTACCCCTTCTTGAGGGGCTAGATGGGGGATGGTGCTAATGCCATGTCTCTCTGCAGGCCACCCCAGTTTCATGCCGCAGCGCCAGCTCCAGCCCTGTGGAGACATTGGCAGAGGAGACATCTCGCAAGTCCATGTCCCCCTCTATCCGGGGGACGATGGCTAGCAGCTGTGAAGGTGAGCATACCTACCTGGGCCACCTTGGCCTGTCCTGAGCTTCCTGATGTGCTGTGGCTGATAGCAGGGGGGACAGGATGGCTGACTCAAAGCTTGTAATCTTCCCTCTGCAGCCTTTGAAGACTGCGTCACTGCCTCTACTGTCATTGAGTCAGCTGTCCGGCTCCTGCGGACCTGTCTGTCCTGCATGCCCCCAGGTAAACTGATCAGAAGCAGCCCCTGGGACAGTGCACTGTGTCCCTCTCTCTTCAGGATGGAGGCAGGGCTGCAGTTTGCTGTACCTTAATTACTTTTGGAGCCTGCTGCTGGGGTAGGATGGTGAGCTGGGCAGAGGCTAGCTGCTTACTCCCTCTATCCCATCAGCGGACAGAAACCCCGCCTCCCTGGCCCGGCATGAGCAGTTCGTCTGGGTGAGCAAGTGGGTAGATTACTCCAACAAGTATGGCTTCGGCTACCAACTCTCCAACCACAGCATCGGAGTCCTCTTCAACGACGGCACGCACATGATGCTTTCCCCCAACCACAAGTAAGCAGTGGGGAAGGTGCTGGTATCTCTGAGGTCAGTCCCTCAGCTGAGTGGGAAGGGGCTGGTGGAGGTGGGGGGAGGCATCAGCAGGAGTAGGCTTGGAGCTGGGTGCACTGGGTGTCCCTGAAGCTCAGTCTCCTCTTCTTCCCAGGATGGTGCATTACAACTTTACCAACAGCAGACACATTGCATTCCCTGTGTCCAACATCCCTGAGCAGCTGCAGGGGCAGATGAGTGTCTTGCGCTACTTTGCATCCTACATGGAGCAGCATCTCATGAAGGTGAGCGTGTGGAGCCCTAGTGAGGGGTGGGCTGGGACCACAGGCAGGTTGGACATCAGTCACAGCTTGACAGCCCAATGCAGAATTGTGGGAATCCCTGCTTGCAGGCCATGGCCAGTGGACACAGCTATGTGCTGGTAGCAGGGGACACCCCCCCGGGGTTATACCCAGCCCAACTGTGTTGCACAGTGCACCCCTGAGACTGGCATGAGTGGCTTATACAGACCTTTCTCTCCAAGGGAGGTGACTTGCCCAGCATAGATGACCTTGGGCAGCCAGCCCTGCTTCTCCTGCAGTGGGTGAAGACTGACCAAGCCTTGCTCATGCTCTTCAGCAGTGGTACCCTCCAGGTATGTGTGGGGTACATGGGGATGCTCAGATTCCTATGGGGAAGAAGCCACCTGGGGATGCCCAGCCTCAGTTAGATCTTGTCTGCCATAGCCTGAATGCAAAGTCCAGCTGTGAAATCAGCTGTTGGTCCAGGATGTTGCTCCTGTTTCCAGAGCTGCTGGCTGTGGTTTGTCCAGCCTCTGAGAGGGCGTAGGGAGGCACCATGCTTTGGCCAGTCACTTCTGGCTGCCCCAGTGTTTGGGTCAGCCACGTTCCTGCTGCAGGGTGTGGAGCAGCTGATGCTCCCAGGCAGGTCAGGGAGGAGGAACGGGTTGAGGCAGGAAGTGTGGCTCCATCTCTGCTGCCACCATGCTGCAGGAGATGTGGATTATACTGAGCTTGTGCTTAATGTTGGCCCCACCTGTCTCCTAGGTGAACTTCTACAATGACCACACCAAGGTGATCATCAGCAAGCCTGACCACTCCTGCCTGGTCACCTACATCAACCGGGAACGCAACTCCTACACCTACAAGCTGTGCAGCATCCAGGAGCTGGGCTGTTCTCCTGAGCTCCAGCAGCGCCTCAGATACGTACTGAAGCTCCTCCAGGAGCGGGCTGATGCCTAGTTTGGGGCCTTGGGGACCCTCTCTGGACATAGAGGTCTCCCCTTACCCTCCCATGGGATGGGAGGTGTGTTGTGGTGCTGGATGACTACCTGGGCACCCTGTACTGCGATGCTCAGTTGGACTCTTATAGACCAAGACATGTGGATGTGGCCTATGGCAGCTGGTCTAGGCACTCTTTGTCCTTGCTGCTCCTTGGCTCCTGGCAATCACTGCCTCTGTGCTGGCAGCTCCTGTTCTGGTTGTGCTGGTCTTAATGGAGTGTGCTGGGGAACTGGAGCAGAGCGAAGGGACAAGTGCCCTGCAACCTGTTTTGGATTTGCAGCCTGGTGCATCCTTGTGGTGGTTGGTGCTTCAGCCTTCCTTGGCCATCACTTGCCTGCAGCCAGAGCTCTGGCTTTCCTGGCACTGGGCAAGTGCCCAGCTGCCAGCTTCACCTGGAAATTGGGCTCAGGCATATTAACAGTCTCCAGAGTCCTGAGTGGAAGGCTCAGGGTGCTGTAGGATGGGGGTAGCACTCCCCCACATACACACAAGAGATGGACGGGGTGAAGGGCATTGCCTGCCTTGCCCATGGGGTGTGTGGGCTGGTGCATGCTGCTCCACAACTACTACACTAAGGAGGGGAGCGGGACAGGGCCCTTTGGGCTGTGCTAGGGCTGACTGCTCCAGCTACTCCTGAATTTGTGAATAGTCTGGTACAAATTGAGGCTTGATAGGGGGGAAAAAAGGGATCTGAAGGCTTGTCTGGAGAAGCCCTCATTTTGCTGGGACCTGTGGGAGGTTTCTTGTTTCAAGGCAGTCTCTGCTGGGTGGGACTATTTATGTATCTTATTTATATGGATTTATTTATTTTCTTGTTGGACTCTTCATGTGCAGCTCCTTGTCCCCAATTCACCTCAATTAAAAATTTCCTCTTGTAAGAGCAAACGGTCTTCATCTTGCTTGGTGCTGGGTCCTGTGCCACAAAATGGCTATAGCTCCCCAAAGCTGGAGAGCAGAGCATCCTTATCTTCATTCTTGCTTCAGGGCTTCCCTCCTTGATATTGGTGTGGGGGCAAGGTCATGGAGCTGGGTGTGCTAGGGGGACTTCCCCAGTTTGAACTGGGGTAGGGGTGAGACCCCATGGGGCCCTCCCCAGGGCTGGGCAGGATTAGCTCTTGCTGATTGCTAGTTCTGTCTTCCAGTCAAATCCAGCTACTCTAATATCTGTGCTTAACTGAATTGGGGAAAGCAGGGTCTCCTGCCCTGGGGTCTTTGACTCCTGCCCATGGCCCTTTCAGCTCTGCCTAGAGGGCCTGACTTAGTTCCCTCTGTCCTTCCACTCTGCATCATGTGATGGGGTATGAGCTGGGACCAAAGCCAGGAAACTGCAAGGACTTAATCCTGCTCCAAGGAGGTCCTTTGAACATGATCTGTTGCCTCCTGCCCTCCATCCCTAGTACAGGTGCAACAGATCTGCCTGGGAGCTGTTGACAGTGTGGGAAACAGTCTGGGCTGCTCTGTGCATCCTCCCCAGAGTTGTCTGCCTGCTCCAGGACTCTGGATTTTATCCCTCGCTGCATTTTGGGTTGTATTTTCTGAAGCTTAGGTTTCTTTGCAAGCTGTAGGCTGTACGTAGAAGCAGCAATGTCCATGCAAGCCTGGGCCTGTAGTGAGCCCCCAAACCTGGCTACCAAGCAGGGTGGGGGTCCAGCCTACTGGTGCTGGGAGCTGCATGTGGGGCTCTGCAGATGCTGGGTGCCTCCCCAGCACTTTGAGCCTGCTTTGGCTGTATCCTGCTGCTATGGGCCGAGGGCCTGTGATTTCTGGACTGAGGCACTGGCTGCACATCACCTGAGGTGCTTGGCTCCTCACCTGCACCACAGGCCAAAGCCTGTTGCATACAAGAGCTGCAGCTGGAACAAATCTCTTTATTTCCAGCCCTTCTCCTGCAGTGCTACAAGGTAGGAGTAGGGCTACTCAAAGTAAAGCCCGTGCACTGTGGCCACGGCAAAGAGGGAGGCGTTGGAGAAGGTGGCCGAGGCGAAGCTGTCGGTCTGGGGGTCCCACAGTGTGCGGCTGGCCACGAGCAGGCTCTGCTGGCCTCGCTGGCCCAGCAGCACATGGCAGACCAGCTTGTAGCGGGGTGGCACCACCTCCTTGGCCCGGCTGCGCAGGAGGTCGGCCAGGCTGTGGGCC